CTAAGGTTTTATTATAGAGTAATGCAAATTCTTGTCCATTAAGATATGCTTCACCTGAAATCTTCAATAATAGAGCACAAAACTTGCAAGGTATATGTAGTGAGTGGTAAAATAATCAAATGTTTTTTTGTTCTGGTACAGCATTTTTTGATAAGGGATACGGATAGCGTCTGCAATCGTGTCACACTATGGTAGCATTTTTTCACAAGGCAGCACATTTCTACAGAACACCGGCAGCACAAGTTCATGTTATAGCAGAAGTTGGGTTGTCATCTGCCTTCAGATATCACCATAAACATGACGGATGGCGTGCATCATATTTGTACTGACAGTAAAGTGTAGAATACACATTTGCTGTAAAGTTGTTCATGTTCTCATCGTTAAACGCAAAACCAGTTTGTCGATTGTTTGGTTTGTGATGTGATAGGTCAACCTTAGAAAGGTCCAGTAGTAACTAGCTGAAATGGGAGCATAATACCCATTAGTTGCGGAGTCTGACAAACTTGTGTCAAGCCGAGACTATAGCTTGACCTAACTGAGCAAATGTACTGAGTGAAGGCCTCAGCCAGCTGTTGCTTCGAGTAAATTGGTGGTCTTCTTTTTAATTTGTTGTTCCAGCTGTGTATTAAACTGGACCACTGACATCTGAAATACACCTGGAAGCGATCAGGATAAGTCTCCAGATTCTTTATGGACAGGTGAAACTCTCCTCGCTCTCGTCTTGTTTTCAGGAGAGGACGGACAAGGTTTTTTTTTTTTTTTAACAGTGAAAGAACCACCGACTCATCTTCACTGCTTGATTTCTCTGCGTGATGAGTTCCAGACATTTAATCTCAGACTGCAAATTTTCTCAATTAATGGAATAATAAACGCAGCAGACTCAGTTAGCAAAGCGTCTGTTTGAACGTTTTTAATCTGCTCACAGATCGGAAAAACACATCCAAAAATGGACTGACTCGATTTGCAAAGGCCTCGAGAGTCAAACAAAATCAGACAATGAAGCTACAGGTAGGAAGACAGAAACAATGAGCTTAAAGACACTAAAACTCCTTCCAAACTCTGAAAGTCAGGTGATAATTCTCTCTGAAGTGTTAGTGTTCATTTTCAATTCATGTAGCTCCAAGTTTAGAACAGCAGACTTTCTTTTTCTTATCTGCTGTAACGTCCCTTAATTCTTTCTGACTGCTACTCTGAGATCCAGTGTCTCCGGCACTCTGTGAGTTTGATCCTAGACCATACCCGTGTGCTGACAACAACACATAATCCCCCTCAAACCAACACTTCCTGTGGGTTACACATATTCTGTGTCAACACCGTGCGGAGACGTTTCCCTGTCAGAAACATTTCACTAAATCTGCTGCCGAGCCGAAACACAATGCCATTCCTCCAAACCTTTTTTCAAACGGAGTGCCACAGCGGATCACAAGTGTCTGTGAACGCCCACCAAGGACTCCTCTGTGATACCGAGTATTGTCTGTGAGCATAACTACAGAGTGTTCATGCGAGACTCCCTCAATACACTGACAGCAAAATTGCCACCATTGTTTGGCTGTGCAAGGAACATGTTATTGTAGAACCATTTTGATTATAAAACTGACTAATAATTTGCCCAAATGGACACACTTCTGTTGACAACCTCAGAAAACTGCACCATTAAAAGCTACAGTTCCAACTCAATGTCTTCACAACATATTGAACTATGGAGAATGATAGATTAATACAGACTCAGGTGAAAGATGTACGAAAACTACCAGGATGTTTCAGTCCATCCAAACAGATTTGAGTGCAGACGAGGTGTAATCATGCGGTTGCTTGTCTTCAAGTGTGCCATGTTATTCCACATAATCTGACGGGATTAATTATCTGATATTAGAAGTTGCGCCCCTTTTTCCTGATTGGTCGGGGAGGGAGAAGTGACGAGCACTGCGATGTTCCAAAAGTTGAACTGTTTTCAACTGAGTGCAGTGACAAAAAACTGCTTATGCTGAACTGCACTGGTTTTGAATCGTAAACAGGCACTGCCAGCACAAAAATGAAAAGCGCAATTTGTGGACACAGGCCCTTTAGCATGCTTAATTTCTCAGCTTCAGTTGTAGTTTGTCTCTATCCGTCTTTATCACATTTCTCTCTACCTCTCTGAGTCACTTTTAGTTTTTTCTCCTCTGTAACCACTCAGTCCCTCGGTGGCTGATCTTGTGTCCAAGTTCTTGGTGGCACCCTGACCTGCCGGGAGGAGAGCCGAACACAGTTTCTCCCTCTTTCCCTTTCTGCAGCCTCCTTCTGCTCACTTGGCCTTTTAAGGAATTTTTCCATTCGCTGTCTCACCCTCTGCTCGCCCTCTCGAGATCACCTGACCCCGTCACCTGCCTGCCCAGCTGCTCCTCGTTCAGTCAGTCACAGTGTAAATACAGAGACCTGCTTTCAGTTAAGTCTCTGCCAGCCGGGCTGCTGTAGCGTTCCAGCTATTGCTGTCACCTGCACCCAATTACTTCGCTTCCTGCTCCAGTTCAAAATTGTTTGCCTCATTGTACCGCCTGCCCGTTGCAGTATAAAAATCAGAAATACCTTCAAAGAAAGCCGAGAAACAAGACTGACCTCTCTCCAACACACAAACTATACTGTCCTTACAGTGGGCTAATTCAAAGAGAGACAGATGGCTCACAGTTATCTGTCCATTAGCACAAGGTGTAACTTTTTACTCTGTGTGTTTTGACATTTATTAAAGTATCCGACAGTTTGTCAAACTGCAACACAGATAAGATCAAAAAGTCATACTGTTAGCCACTAGCTAAATACAAAACCTTTATACAGATAAAAACTGAAGTAACATTTCTCTTTTGTCTCTAACATCTAAAAGCCAAAAAGAATTATACTCACAGAAATAAATTGTCTGAGGAAACGATGTTGAAAGTATTTTTTTTGCAGCAGGGGGCAGTATAGAAACAAAAAAATACAAATCTGTTAAACTTAATAATTATAAAATATAAAACTAAAATGGTTTAAGTACAAGAAGGATTTGTTTATGGCCTGCTGTCAGAGCTGAAATAACTGCGAATTAATTTTAAACTACACAACCAACCTTTTTTTTACAATCGTTAAGATTGAGTAACAGGCAATTTTTCTTTTTCCTCACAGAAAATGTACATCACCAAGCACGCCTCTGATACCAGTGCTAAGCTAACAGTGGCTGGGCTAATGGCCCCTCCTGTTGGAGGCGTGAAGAATCCCTGATTTTCTTTTAACTTTTATTTTAGAGGTTTACTTGATACATTTAGCCTACATTAGAAAAAGGAGCTTTAAAAGTGCGATGGGAGTGGTGCCAGATGGCCTGGCGGTTGTTTTGCGCACCATGTTTGGAGGCTAAAGTCCTTGCAGAAGTGGTGGGTTCAGATCTGACCTCAGCCTCCACTCTCTCCTGTCAACACTTCCTGTCTCTCTCTCTAGCTGCCCCAAAAATAACTTTATAAAAAGCATGATGGGAAAACACTAATTAGAGACATTTTACTAGCTCTGACCAGCGCTATGCCATAGTACACAGTGATTATCAGGCTAATGGGGAATTCCATTCAGTATTTAGAGTTAAAATCCAACAAGCTGTAACTTTTATGTTTATTAGCAGCTTAGACCTCTTTTTGTGTAATTAAATCAATCACAGTGACTGTATCGTGCAAGCGCTCTCTGTAGAGTGTTTTATCGACAGGTATTTGCTAACAAACCAGAGGTACTCCTAGAAGCGTCCTTGTTGCACGTCCGACTTGAACCAGCTCCGAGATCAGAGCTAAATGGAACGCACAGAAATGTACCGCCCTCTAACTACATTCAAATAGTTCCAGGTGATCACCTTCATAATGTTTCAAACTTTTCTCACAAAGGAGAATATCGCTGCAGACTTTTCCCGTCTCTGCACACAATCACTTTGATTCCAGCCAAACGGGGTCCAGAGAAAGTGACAGTCTAACATTGTTGTGCCTACCTTCTGCAGCACTATTGTCAAAGTGGATTAATCCTCCCACACAGTGCAGACACCTTTTCTCCTTCCAAAGCCAAGTGGCTCCTATTGAGACACTTTGTGAGCGAGGCAGATGTGTTGGTGCGTTAGCCAAAGCCCTGGCACAAAGGAGACACACACACACACACACACACACCAAAGAAACACAAAGTGGGGTGCAGCCAAGCACAGGCAGGAGAAATGTATGGTGAGGGGTGGTCATGTGGAAGAAGAGTTTTACGGGCACGTTCTATGTGAGTCACTTATTCGGGATGTGGGTTTACAATAACTATGGCAAGGTTTCCTCTTTTTTCTCAAATACAAACATTGTCTCACTTGCAAGACGATCATATGTCTGCCTTTGCATGAAGAGTATTCAAAGTATTTCTACTCAGTTTAAAAAACTAATTTTTGGCAAATTGTTAATTGCTGTTGAATATCAGCAGGCACAACATAATTGACTTAACTTGGAAAACTTACTAAGGCGCTGGCAGGAAACATTCAGGTAAAAAAAAAAACTGTTTTGGCCACCCTAGGCCTGGTGGAGGCTGTGGTCCTCCAAGCGGACGGTCTGGGTTCGAGTCTGGCCTGTGGCTCATTTCTTGCATGTTATTCCCGACTCTGATTTCTGACTCTATCCACTTACCTTCAATCACTGATTTTAGTCTCATCTAAAGATATACTGATGATAATACTAATGCCAGTGTTGCCTCAAAATGTTCCCGTTAGGGATTCTGCATGTCTCTACATTAAGATCCCTTTATTCTCACACTGATGGCATGTGCCTTGAAGAAGAGACCGGGGACTTAATTCCTGATGTGTCTTTGTTAATGTCGCAGCCAGAGAGCAGTGGTTGAAGCAGAAGATGGATGGCTGGTTTCCTAAAAAGCTGCAGGCACTCTGTTTTCTCTTTACAGCCCAGTGAGCGATGGAGGGGTGAAGCTGAATTACAGGTCGGCTTTGGCTCGGTTTTTAATTAGCCTCTTTCTGTGTCTCTGCCTCCGTCCTACAGATGGACCCGGTGCAGAAAGCTGTCCTCCATCATACCCTCGGCCTCCCGCCTACAGCGAAGAGGAAGCACGTCTCCTGCAGCGTCTGCCAGCTGAGGTTCAACTCACAGGTGAGCGAGTTTTTCTTCTGAAGAGAGTGAAAGTTCAAAAGTTACTCGTATACTTCTGCAAGAGATACACACAGAAAAGAAAGAGATAACCCCTGATATATATATATTACTACAACAGAGGAACGACAATCAAAAGGAAACATTATAACCACAAACTTCCCTCACCTCAGTGAAGACCAGAGTATCTTAACGAGATGCCCCCACCCCTCTCGTCTGACAAAGATAGTCTCCCTGTGAGGAGCATGTGTGAACAGCCAAGTCAGGAGAATCTCAGGAGCAATCCTCCTGAAATGATCTAGATATTTTCAGGATTGCGTGGGTGAAAGCAGCTTCTGTCAGGCGTTTTAAAGACTCAAGTCGTTTGAATTGTTGCACTGACACCGGTTTGCTTTCTGCAGAAAACACGCTGCAGTACAAAATGCAGGAGTAATAAAAGAATTAAGCTTTTATGCAAAGTATGCAATTAAACACGACACAACATGCTGCAATGATGATAGTACAGAGTAAACAAATGAAAAAGAAAGTCGATTTTTAGGGTTTTTGAGGAGAGCTGAGAGGATGTGGAGTACTCAATTTGACTTAATTTTCTCTGTAGCTGAGAGAGGACAGAAAAGTGCAACTCAAATACAAAACATATTCATTCTCATGTCGGTAATGGTGCTGAATAAGAATCAGACAAAATGTAGAATGTGAGGTTTTGATGCATCAGACGGACTAACAGAGACCATCTGAAGGCAGCATTAGGAGTTACACGTTGGGTTCTTTGGACAGGGTAGTGGCTTTTCTGACACTCTAACCATCTTCCACTTTTTCATTTCTGGTTTGGTCTCTCACCCGCCCACTCCCTTTCTTTGTACATTGTTCAGGAAGTTGGCTTTATAACTTTTGTTTTAGTGTCAATATGGGAACGCTCCCACCTTTTTTCTCCATTTGTTTTGGTAAATGTATCACATTATGAAATTATCTACTGAACTGTTCTGTGCTTTAATATTTCCATGTTGGAGTTTTTTCTTTAAAGACAGAGTCAGCATCTTTTACTTAACGAATAAAAAACAGATTTATACAAAAGTAATGTCGCTCAATCCTCACTGAAGGGTCTCCATACATACTGTAAGTGGTGGTGCCTGTCTCTGCAGAGACTCAGTCTTATAACTGGATTTTCATCTTTTGGTTTGTGTTGGTTGACTCGGGGTCTTTCTGGGTGGGGAGCTGGTGTGTTTCCTCCAGCCAATGACAGTGCGCTGTTGAGTTTAGGAGTGGATACAATTCAGTGATATGACGCAATTCAAACCAGCAAATATTGCAGAAGCGGCAAAGCCTACAAAATAGTGATCAAAGTGAGCCGCACAGATAAAGCCTGTTCTACAACAAGGGTGACCTTTGTGTTGTTATGGAGTTGGTCTGCTTTCTGTTGGACAGACCGGTGGCAGACATCGGCGGTTAGCTTGCTAAATGATCAGCTTTTCCATTACAACAAATGTAATATTCTCAGGCAGCTTGCAGATTAGGTACGAGCAGTAACCGTAGATGATAACCCTGCAGATAAGATAGAGGATAACCCCTCCAATATACAGAACTACAGATGCTAATTTATATCTTCTCATGAAGTTAAAGACACTGTCCCTCCCGACACTTGGTTCTCCTTGTTTTCCTCTTTGTGTCCCAAACTACAACATTTTATGTAATTAAAAAGGCAGCATTGCTATTCTGTGAATGCACTTTTTGAGTATGTTTTTTTGTGTGTCAGCGGTTTAACAGCGATTTTGATGGTAAATGGTCTTGAGCTTGTATATTTCTTTTCTAGTCTTCTATACTCAAAGCACTTTTACACGGCAGGTCACACCTACACATTCACACCCTGATGGTAGAGGCTGCTGTGTGTAAAGAGTCCACCAAATTAATTAATCCATTCATACACCGCTGATGAAGCAGTGGAGCAATTTGGTTTAAGTGTCTTGCCCATGGACATGTTGCTGCAGGAGCTGGGGATCAAGCCCCCAATCCTCTGGTTGAGAGACGACCGACTCTACCAACTGAGCCACAGGCGCCCCTTAGATAAAGGCAAAGATTGTTGATCGTTTGCATGATTCTGATGGTACTAAGCTCCGATACACAAGTTAGAAAAAACAGACACAGAGCATTTTTTTATAAACCTAGGCATGTGATTAGCAAAGGACAAGACGGAAACATACAAACCCAGAGCAGGGTACGGCACATATCTACATTGTATTTGCATGTAATTCAACCTATTTGCATTGAAGTGTAGTAACATCTGCATCCATAAGCTACATCTGCTAGTTACTTCAGCACAGTGTCATTCAAAGTGTCTCTGTAGCGTTTAATATACTGTAAATATTAAGTTTTGTATCAAATTACTTGAATTATTACAGATATTTTGCAGCAAAATTTGAATTCCTGTAAAAAATCAAGTAGAGTAATTACAGAATGCTCATCACTGCATCACGTATCTGTTGAGCACTTCCTGTCTGGCGTGCATAAAGGACCCCTGTGTTAGGCTCTCGAGGGAGGTCAGCAGCATCATCGACGTTCCAGTCAGCCAGGAAGTTGTCTTTGTTGGTTTCACAGACGTTGTGCAGTATGCAGCAGGCAGCAACAATGTCAGGCATGATGTAAATGTCCACGTCGTTGGGCTTAGTGAGGCATCTCCAGCCGCCCTTTAAACGTCCAAAGGCGTTGTCAACCACCATCCGCGCAGAGTTCAGACGATGGTTGAAGGTGTTTTGTTCAGGAGTCAGGTGGCGGTGAGGGTTGAACCCTTTCAGTAGCCATGCTTTTCAGAGGAAAAGATGGACTGGCACCTCCACATCAACGACAGTCATGGAATTCTGTGAACGAACATTAGATTATAACATGAGTTTCAACGCAGGTTTTGAGACTGCACAAATATCATCAGAGGGACGATAGAAAGAGATGGGCTCAGGCTGAGGGGCAGCAAGTTGGTTAAAGTTGGGTGTTCAATCTAAACTTTGAATAAAATATTGACACAGAAAAAGACCTTTTATCTAGAGATGTGCGTCTTTTGTTGACTAAATATTATATGTCATCACCCCTGCTAATCAGAACCAGAACTAGTGTGTTTTATGATTTCAAATCTTGTGCTCAAACTGCAACGTAGCCGCCTGCCACTAGCTGGGGCTGTATCTCCGGTTTATGGGCCTGCTCTCTGCGCTCTACTACCTGGATGTCAGCAAGAACAGTGAAACGATAGCATATTGTGGGAGCAGCGCAGTTAGGCAGTATTTTGTATCTTTGCTAAAAATCGCTTAGTGCTCATGCTCATTAATGTTGGGTCTTTGTAGATACTATTACAAAGAGTAAGGTATTTTACCTGCTTTTTTGATATTTCCTAAATAAAAAAACATGTTCAAACTTGGACACATTTCAACGACTGTGCTGGTGAACATGCATATCAGCAAACCTTACCTGGGAACAGGTAGCCATCTTGTTTTTCAGCCTCCAGGAAGATAGCAGAGTTTCTGAGCACTCTTGAGTCATGTACGCGTCCAGGCCACCCGATATATATATCTGTGAAGCTGAACAAAAAGAAACTTAAGACTTAAAACTTTATCCCAGAGGGCAATTCGGTTCCACGGTCCACCCAGACCATGCACACATTTACAAACCAACAACAGAAAGAGTTTATCACAGACAACAGTCAAATCAGTACTTGACAAAGATGAGCGCTGGCATGCTGGTGCCCCCGTGCTGTCTCTTTGTGCAATGGCACCCACAAAGGCCAGATGAAAAACACGGTTTAAATCAGTAATAAATAAGTCAATAAATACATAACCAGGACATTCTAGGAGGCACCGCCGTAACACTGAAACAACCTTGAGATAAGGCACCTCTTGGCAGTTGAGATTTTGCAACAACCATAAAATGTTTCGCCTTGTTTATGAAAAAATCTCACCAGCTGTTGTGATCTACGATTCCTTGCAGTATGAGGGAATGCCATCCTTTATGGTTCTGATAAGACACAGGATCTTCCTTTAGAGCGATAACAGGAATATGGTGTCCACCAATAGCACCGGCACACACTGCACACGTGTTAGAGCGGCTTTCACCAGACGTAAAACCTGCTCTTTCCACCGAACGTCGTTAAAGTTCTGCAAAACATCGGCCCAAAAAAAGATCCCCACTCTGTGTCTCGCGCCTCCTCGAGACCTTCTCTCCCTGCTGCTGCTGGACACAGAGCCAAAACGCTGCAGCTTTTCCCTCCAGTGGAGCCTCCATGCACACCGGGAGGCAGCTTCAAACTCCCTTCTGCTCGCCTGTATCTTCCTTTCAAATTCTTCATTGATGCTGTTGATGCGTATCATGGCACGTAGCATTGATGCAACTGCAAAAATGATCACGGCAGCGTATGTCTCTGTTGCTTTGTCGGCCATTGCATCGTAATCATTACACTGAGACCGCCACAGCATGATCGTATCTTCATGTAGTGCCTCCTGAGACTCACCCCCCCCCTCCTTCCCACCCACCACACCCCTCATCTGACAGGAATAAACTCATGTAAGTGTGAAGACGCAGCTCTAAGAAATTCCCGGGACAAGAGTGCGTGCGTTAAATTAGTCTGCTGCTTTTTTATTTTCACAGATACTGGAGACCATTTTTTAGTTTTCAGTCTTAATAAACAAAGTAAAGTAGTTAGCATGGCGTGGCTAATGATTCTATGTATTTGCAATTTTCTTGAAAATTTAAATATGTGCACTTATGCATATGCATTAAATTGATATTGACAGATATAAATATAAGCCTTAAATCCAAACTGTTGCTAGTTCCCTTCAAAAAAGCTTACATTTCCAAAGTTTCTCTTTCGTTCCCATGGCCTTGCTGTGGTTACACCCTTACATGGCCGTAGAGATGTGCTGAAGGACCAATTGGTCTATTTGCATTCAAAACTAAAACAAAGAAAAGATGTTATCATGTCAATGGATCTTGTCATTGACCTGCTTGTTGAGAACCATTCAAATTCATAA